TCTTGACTTTCGAGGCTGCTTCTGAAGAGTTGGAGAGAGCAGCATACCACCATGCAATGATGGCTTCATGTGACATGCTGTCTGGCACCTGTCTGTGTGCACATGAAGACTGCATGTCGCCCCTCATGTCATCTGTGGTTCAATGAGCCACAAAAATCCATGACTGTTTCTAGGACCAGTAAGTGCTGTGACATAAGTGGCCTCAAACATAAGGCCCATGTTACAGTCACCATAGGAACTGATCATTGTCATTCCACTAAAACACACTGAAGCCTGGGCCCCTCCTTCCTGCCACTACATCCTTCATCCTGGAATAGTGATGTTCACCACATAGACCCGTCTCCAGCAGAGACCCTCTGGCTCACCTCTGCAACCCCTCAGCCCAAGCCTGTCAGAAAATAACATCTCAAACCCCCAGCTGTGTTAGAGCCAAAAGCCAAGGAGGACATGGGTAAGTCAACTGGCCTTCCTCCTATCATCACATCGCATGGCAGGAACAAGAGGGCTTCAGCGAACCATGTATGAATGCACTACAGCATGCTGTGCTTTGAGAAGCTGCTCAGAGAGTATCTGCATTACTACCCGCTCTGTCGATCAAGAAGCCAAGGCTATGCTTGCCAGATCCTGTGGTTATTTACTCTGGCACAGAATTAAAATACCTCTATTTGTACTGGAGCATGAGCAGAATTTAACTATTACTTAAAAATAAACATGCAAGCAAGGAATATGAAAACATATAAGAGTGTAAGAAAATATATTTATTAAATTCCATGGCAATACTATGGTAAAATTGTTAAATACATGCGTATTTTTAGACACCCAAGCAATACAACAGGAGTTACAACAGCCAAGCAAACTAGGTTTAAAACGTATGCAAAGTTGGTATCTTAGGTCAGGTTAGTCTTAAATGCCATCTGCCACACTGGACTATTATTTCCCCACCATGATCCCACGCTTCCTTTTTCAAGCATGCATTTGTTTAACTGCTTAGCTAATAAATTTTCTTGTTGATACACTGCTGAATCAGTATTTTACTTGGTATGCTACAACTTCACTAAAGTGCCTTGTGATGATTTTGCTTAAATTGTGAAATATTTATGCAATACTGGACTTGGAAGCTGGAAAACTTCAGTATCATTCAGCAACAGAATTATGTTAAATGACTGATTAGATTTAGTGTGTTAGGAAGACTATTTTGTCAGCTTGATTTATTGATTTATTCTCTGAATTATTTTCTATAGATGACTATTTCAAATTGGCAAACAATATTTTCACTAGTATTAAACAGAAGTCCATTAAAATCTTTGTAAAAACAGAACATAAAAACATCTCTAAACAAATTATTTACGCTTTAAAAAATACAGTATAAAAAGACCTAAAAAAAAAAATAATTGAACCTGTTCACAGTATATATTGTGAAAGTTACAGCATTATAGTACAACATTGTTTTGTTTTTCAGGTGACTTGTATGCCTCCATCAGCTCCACTTCTTTGTGTGCCACAACTGGATCAAAGTTCAAATTACTATTACCTTCGAGTAGGATTTCAGAGTCGATTCAGTTATCTTCTTTTTTTGCTATCCCCTGTGTTAGAAACTTTTCTGACACGCTATGAAGCATAAAATGTTGTCCATCCCAAGCCATTCTTGAATCACATTTAAGGAAATATTGACAAAGTGATGTTCAAGGATTCCTTTTTTATTGTATTACTACTAAACGTGTGAGACCTTGCCAGTTTCTGTTTTACTTTGCCCTGCTTGATCAATTTCTTTTTTAATTTTTTTTTAGCTCAAATAATGAAAATGAAAACATTTCATTTTTTGCTTTGTTCCTGGTTAAGTTTACTTACTACATTTTGCACAACATGAGACCAAGTGAGTTCGAAAGATACTGAACATTCTCATGGAAGTTGTGCATATGCTTCCCCTGGAGCTTGCTTTCACGTAGCAACAGTCAAAGTGCAGGTTTGGGGCCATCCAAAACCTAAAGATTTTGTTGGGTATCACATTAAAAAATAAGTATGTCATCTGGGCAGCACTGTCTCAAGAAGAGGGTAATACTGCAGAGGTATTGACCCCATCCTCTCATGTAACACACCGCCATTAGACCAGCTCACCTGCATGGAGATGCTGAGCCACTGCCCTCCGAATTCAAAAGTTCTCTGGAGACATATTTATGTATTGCAAAAGCAGAAAGAATCAATAGACATTTTTTGTGAGGAAGAAGTATTGTCATGCACCCTGGGACAACTGGTGAAGTTACAGAAACCCCTGCCAGTATCATCTGAGGTTTGTTTGCATACTATGCTAAAAGCAAACAAACACTGACAATCTTAGAAACACTGGGGAAAATCCAGAGTTACATAAATAGGGGAGGGGAAGAAGGAAATTGTTATGGAAGAAACTTTTCCAGATTCTAAGGAGATACTTAGAAACTCAAGAAGCATGAGGAAATTCGTTTTTAAACCAATTTCTAACTAAAACTAAACATTCTGAATCAATGTCAGTTGGGGTCTGCAGCTGTGTTTCAAAGCTTCCTAAGGAAAACAGAAAGAAAAAGCCAACAACAAAACTTGCAAACTGCCAACAGCATATCTGAAAATCAGCCACAGAGAGCACTGCTTAATGCACATCAGCACAAACTCTGTGTAGTGTGTTGGGAAGAGGGCAGACAGCATCTATTTCCTCTAGACAAAACTGCATCTCAGAACTCACATAATAAAGTACAGTGCTCCAAAAAAAATTGCTTTGGGAATTGCAAGCCAATCTCCTTTGCAATATGCACCTAGGTACCTAATGAGGTAAGTACATATGTGCATAAGTGTTTAGGACTTCTCTTAGTGTCAAAAACTTTAATGCCATTTGCACTTAAGTCTTCATCAAAGAAGATGCTATTTACATAGGAAGCTCTTGATAGGTTTATGGTGAGTGGAGCCTTGTTAGCAATCTGATTCTTTAAATAGTTACATTTCCCTATGTACTTCAAATTCTTTACTATATTTCTATCTACTTGTAGGCATACAAATATTGTATTTACAAAGCAATACTTGTCTAAAAATAGAGCATACACTTTCTTTTTGCCTTTTCAGAGCCATGTCTGAACACCTTCCCACACCAATGCATCCAATGGCCTTCACTTTTGCTACTATGTATGCTCAACTGAGTGTCCTGGAGGCCAAGATCACAGGAAACGCTGCAGCACTAAGCTTTACCCAGCTGAGTGTATCAAAACAAACAAATAAACAATAAAGTTGGCTTGAACGTGCCCCTTCAGAGCAGCCCCAAAACTTGAGGTCAGGACGAGCTTGTTCCCAGCAAAGGAAAGCTCTGGTCCCCAACATAAACCAAAGATGAACATAAATGGTCCATTTTCCAATTGTGCCATGGTGGAAAGAACGGCTACTGTTTCCCTTTGGAAATGATTTACCCATGAAAGCCTCAACTACAGATATTAAAGACAGCTACCACAGCAAATGTCAGCCTTGGGTCCTAAGTCTGCCCGTGCAGCCACTGCATAGCAAGGGAGGTAATTCACTGCCTGCCTGTAACACTAGCTTACTATTTTGTTGATATATTCACTAGCAGTTCTGTGAGGTATATCACATGCAGATCTACCATCCCAAAATTTAATTTACAAAACCAAGATCCCCTTGAATGTCAGAACACCAAAAACAATGAATGTGTCAAATAGGAGAGTGCACAATGTTACATCACACGTGACTGATGTTCCATGCATACATTGAAAAATACAAAACCCCATTACAAACCCCAAATTGTCACATATGACAGGCATGGCTCAAAAAGAAACAGCAGCAGCACTGGCGATCTGCTTCAGAAAGAAATTGCTTGGCATTAACACCCTACATCTCTGAACATGAAGCACTGAATTAGGAGTAAGTGTTTTGGAAAAAATCCCTTCTGGTTGTATCCCTTCTGGAAGAAGTTTTTTTTTGGAGGTTTTTTTTTTTTATTTTTTTTTTTGTCTGTTTTGGGGGATTTTTTGTTTTTTGTTTTTTTTTTTTTTTTAAGATGAACTTTCTATCCTACAAAAACAAAAGCAAAAAAAAGGCAAAAAAAAAAAAAAAGGCAAAAAGCCAAAAAGAACTTAAACAAAACTGATCTTCGATAAGGGAATAAGAATTTTCAGGAAATGATGGTTAAGAAACGCAGTACTTTAACTTTCCTAAGATATTTTTCAAGAACAATTTGACTGAAGAGGCTCACCAGGAAGCCCAAAGGCACTAGCACAAGGAGTCTGATCCCCTCTGAAGCCCAGAGTTTTAGACTTAACAATTGTTACCAATGCATGTAAAGGCTAAACGGCACTGTGCTTTGAAAATAAATTTGGTATGAAGACATTCCTAAAGACACTTTATTGGTTTAACATGGAACTTGGGCTCAGAAAGCAAGTCCATTCCCTGGCAGTCCTTGTCACTCATTCTGACTGTTCCATGCACCTAGGGTTGTCTCCACTAAATCAGTACATACTCTCTGACTACCCGTGTGGTATTTGGATTCACTGCTAAAGATTTAAGATAGGCATTTGAAAGGAATCCTCACCAGAAGCACTGAATAGGATAGCACTCAAAGGAAACAACAGAGATGAAGCAGCTGAGCTTTCAAGTGCGGGGATGAAAACTGCTTACTGGTTCATAACCATTAAGCTACAGTAAATGATACTACATATACTGCACAAACCTGAAGCTACAGTAAATGATACTACACTGCACAAACCTGTCTCTCCCCCATTTGCCTCACTCTTCCGTTACTGATACAAGATTATGGGTATGCTAAGCCACTACTATTAACAGGAATCTTCTGCCCCACATCCTGGAGGTCAGAACACCAGTTAAATATAATACATAGTCAAAGTGTGTGGGGGGGGAAGTAAAGGATAATTAGATGAGAGTGCTTTGATAACACTGAGGCAGACCCTGTGTTTGCGGACCTTACCTAATCACAGAACCATTTAAAATGCTGTTACCTTGGAACACCAGAGTACGCGATGCTTGTGTTTAAGTGATTTAGCATGGGAGCATTGTGAAGGGTGGTAGGCTGCTCCCTGCAAGCTCTGTGTGCTCTCTGCAGCTGCCCGAGCTTCCAGTCTGCCAAATTAAAAATTGCTAGTTCTTCCAAACTTCAGTCTGGCTTTGTTTCTTACAATACAGAGCCATATGAAAGCACAGTCACTCCTCATGATCAGCTGTTCCGCTGCAGAAGGTTTTATCTTTCTTTGGTTCATCATACAACACTGATCACTCTTCTGCATTGAGAAACTGCTCCATAACAAACCCAAACCACCACCCTGACACGCTGTCCATGACAACTCCTGCTTTCGATTAAAAACATATGGCAACACAACCTAAAATTCATCTTAGAAGATCAACACATTAAGCTAAATCTGCACTAGCAAAAAGAAATCCATGTCAAAAGAGATATTGTGAGAAACGATCGTTACTATTAGGATTTAGCTACCTCTCAGCTATCAAGCACAAAGGGCAGATCTGCTTTCTTTTATGTATTAATTTAGTGTTCTGAGTAATACGCAGTAATACATTAGGCATGAAACTTTCTCTTGTGGTGATGTCTAGCGATAGTTGACCAGCTATTTGCAATGCCAATCTGTCTTTTCAATTGCAGTCCTGCTAATGCGAAGATTCAACTTCAAAAGCAGAATCCTACTTGCACTTTGAGTTCTTTCAGACACACCCCACACTCTGGCAGGTGTACAGAAAGATCTATTTTTACTGTCTTCACAGTTCACTCATGCAGTTGTTACTTTACTTGGATGCTGTTTAGTGTTTTGCCTTTTTGTCAGTTTTAGAATCCCCCTGTATTGTCACTGTATGGAGAAGGCAGAGACATACCAACATCTGAAACTGTACCGTCCATTGCTGTGATTAGGTTTAACCTAAAGCTTGGCTTTACTCTCCAGATCACATGGTCTGAAAAGCAATTGTCCGCCAAGCTAGCTATCCTCCTGGTCTGCTCCCACACCCTCATAACTAGCAACTTAGCCAGATAAGTCTCCTTATCTGTTTTGGGATCTTGTCTAGAAAACTACTTCCCTATCTTATTTATTCAATCAACACAAAGTAGCTGACGGAACTGACATCTAAAAAAAACAAAAAATACTTGGTTAGGTCTTTATGGAGACCCCTTTTGATCAAGCTCTTTAACATCTGAGCTCTCACCGCTGTGTTTTACAGTAAGGGACAGTAAATTAGAAAGCACTTTCCTGTAAGACAGTGAATCTTGTGTGCCACAGTCTGCAGTTTACGCAGTGAAATGTTACGATTACAGCTGCCTATGGATGCAAATGTGAAAACAAGCATTTTCAAAGATGATTGTTCTGAACACCCCTTGAAACAAAGAATTGTGTGTAATTAAAGCGTTGTTTGCATCACGTGTCTCATAAAGGAGAGGTAGAACTAGTGGCACTAAAACCTCCTTGGGTTTGGCGACTAGAGAAATCCCACCTTGTACTGCCAGGTGGGATTTGTAGAGAAGGTCCTGTTGGACAGACACTGGAGAGCAGCCAGGCAGCAGGTGGCAAAACTAATACAATGAAGACCATCCAAAGAACAACTTGTTCTCAGGAAGTTAGTACTACTACCTCTAATTTTGTGTGCCAAACTGCTTGGACAGTTAATGTTAGTAGAGATTTCCCCATGACTTACACGTACTGTATAGTGCAAAGACTGCAAAACATTAGGGGCAAATGGAGTATTGTACCACTCTGAAGCAGTTCTGGAGCTGAAACTATGAAATACAAAATGCATTAGTGCAATACGTTAGGAAAGATTAACTCCTTAACCAAAAGATAGAAAAAAAATAGAGCATTCTACATTAAAAAAAAATTAAAAAAAATTAAACTATGCAGTTCTTGTTGAGGTTTAAAACAGTGTTACACTTTTTTCCCCAAGTTTGTACCCCTGAGTCAAACATTGAATAAACATTGTACAGTAGGTACAGAAACTAGTGTCTAGTTAAAAAGCAACAGATTTGAATGACCATTGCTTCAGAAGTGTTAAACAGTGACAATACCCTTCCATATGGGAAAAGAAAAAAACATAGCACTCTCATTTGTTCTTAGTTTATAACTAGGTAAAAGATTTCAAGTTTCCAACCACATTGTTTCCATGTGTTAGGCTGAGGTTTATGATAAATGAAGCCTTCAGTAAGGAAACCTGTTTGGGCTGCATCATTTGATTATGCACAGTTTAGAACAACTACAACAAAGCAAAGCAATCTTTCCAAGTTTTAAGTTGCATGAGACCATGTTAATCTTGGAGCGCTGTGTGAAGCTAGGCAGAGTTCTTTGACTACAATTAACAGGAGCTCTAAACTCAATACCCCTTATATCTGATATATTTTACTAGAGTAATAACTAAATTGCTATAACTTTGGCCTCTCGGCCTCTACGAAAATGGAACATTAACACTTTCACTAACTTAAACATGGTAACATTCAGCTCACTAGAACCTCTGCTGACTGTCTCCAAGAATAGTTCATGCCTTTTGCACTTTTCTTCTTCCTATCTTCACAACAACAGGAATAAGAGCTTATTTAGAAGGCAGGTGCAACAAGGACTCACTGTTAATCATTTGGTTTGTTCTGAAAAAAGTGTGTAAAGGACCACCCTGTGTTACTGGGTTTCGGAGAGTCTTCATCATCTTTTGGGGGAAGGAGAAACTGACGGGAATTGATGGAGCACGGGCTCCCAAAAGATGCATTTTCATTGTTGCTTTCAACTGATCCAGGAGAGTCTGGAGTGTCCATGTTCCAGGCATTTGTGTTTGCTTGAGGTCTGTAACCTGCAGTTTTATCCAATTCTTCCTCTGCAGGTGGGCGACTCTCTGTTTTCAGAGCACTGATCGGCAGCTGCATTTGTGGCTTATAGCCTGCTGTAGTCACTAAGTTTATTTCTGGGTCTTCTTCTGGTTTAATTTGAGGCTGATACATTGACTGAATGTCAATGTAAACCACCTGAGACGACCCCACAGGTTCATCCATAGGGGGATTTGAGATCTCCTCTTCAATGATTGGGGGGCAATAGGACACAACCACGTGGTTCTCTGTTTCGGAGTCAGAGCCATCTTCAGGGACAATAGTGTCTGCTGCTGGGGAAATCATCTCTGTGTCTTCAATCTTGGGAGCTGCAGATTGTGTTTCCACCACTTCAACACTATTGGGGGTGCATGGGTTCATTTCCAGTGTTTTAAGTGTCTTATTCCCCTGAAGCAAGAAAAAGGAGAAGGCATAGAGACTAAGCCAAAAGACCTGGAAAGCCTGAAAGCAACAACTTGCCCAAATTAAACCAGTATGTTGGCTTGTGGCTTGCACTGCCATTAGTACAACTAATAAATAAATAAATAAGTAGTTTAGTTATCATTTCCTGGCTCCTCACACATTCCCGTTAACATTAGAAGTATTTTAGCCATCTTAAAGAGACTTCGGGCCTTTCAGTGACTGTTTGGGAACTCTTTCTCCAAATCTTGCATGTGGGTTTTGTATAACCCATTCCAGAACGTTGTTTAAATGTGATGCCCCATTCCAGGTACTGTGTCTACCAGGAGGCTAGGAATACTGCATGTACAATTCTCCATACATTCTATTTGTCTTAACACTGTGACAAAGATGGATACGTTAGTCCCATGTTGTTACTGTGTACTGACACTCTTCTCATTAGTGCAGGAGGAGAGAAATCCAGAGTCCTTTCCTAGTCCAAATACTGCAAGTAACTACATTAACAACAAGAAAGCTCTACACAGCACCTGACAAAAGTTAGTCAGTAACTTGTCCTACTCCCCCATGCTACAGAGCTTTTTCTAGAACTGAAGCAAAAGACTCAAAGTTTGCAAAAGAATTCTTTATTTGCAATACCTGATGGAAGTTTAAAATACTAGTTTTAAAATTAGGGTTACCTCACAGGTGTTCTTCTGAAACTGCAGTGCCTTACTGTTCTCAGGATTGGGGATCTCTGGATAAAATGTTTCCTTAATCCTTTAAAGAGGAAAGAACAAACTTTCAAAAGTTAGCAAACACTGAATCTAATTGTAAATACACAAAAGGAATCAGGACATTGCCCTTTAATTCAGAATACTGAAGACATCTGGCACAAAGATTTACTGTGCTACACTTTCACTGAGTATATAATGGAAAAAACAGCTTTTTTTTTTTTTTTTTTTTAAACTGGAAACTTGATATGCCACGTTTACAGAAATTGGAGATGGGATGTCTACCTGAGTGTTTGTAGATGACTCAATTATAGCATGTCGCCAGCTTATTTCCATTTGGGAACTATTTCTAAGCAGTGTTCACTGGGAGACAGGTTCCTGCAAAACCTTTTTACATTCCTCACTCTGACCTCCCTTCAATTCAATTTCTCCCCCACCTTCTACAATGTGTTTTGCCATGCACCTTTGAACAAAGCACACTGACATCTTTGGGTACTTGGAGATAACAAAGAGTAACTAAAATAATGGAAAACTCTAGCACTGAAGCAAACAAATCCAGGAAAAGATCAGAACCAAATGCAGGCATTTACCATTCCCTCTTTTGGTAGCAGAAGATGCTGGCCACCACTCCAAGCAGCACAACCACTGCCACAGGGATGAGAATTGCAATGATTAATCCTACAGCTGGGGGACAAAAAAATAAAACACAGTAAATATATATCCAAAGTTACCAGCAATTTTTATGCCTTCTCTAACAGTTCCACAGATTAGAGACAGTTCCACCAAACTCACCTAACAGTGGTCTGCAGTAACCTACACCATACACTTCCCCTTTGCTGGAAGGGTAAAAGTCCATCCATAATCAGAGCTGATTCAGTGATAACTACACGAATCAGCAGATACTTCTCTCTGATTGCTTAATTGTGAAAAGCTTCATGTGCAATGCAAGATGGACTGCCACTGTAATTCTGCTCATTAAGCACTGGAACTGCACTTTCGTATTACTTGAGCTGGCCAAATCTCTGGTAATGGCTCCTACAGGCCAAGGACTCATTACACAAACTGCACTGGCTTTTATATGGTTTACATTGCTTCTGTTCCCCAGGGTTTAGCTCTGATACATTCCCCCTGCCTTCCTCCATTGATGTTAATTGCCTCAAGTTTGATTTTTCATGTATTTTAGTTGCACCCCAGCATTGTCTTTCATACGAAATATGTTCTTCCTATTGTTCCTTTTTTTTCCTTTCTTTTCTTATTCCCCAGTCAATCTCTTTTTTTCTAACTCTCTTTCTGTGTTTGTTTCTGTCAAGGGATGGATAAAACTGAATTCAAACCAGAGAGGCATCTGTTAATAATACTTAAAGTGGTAAATATTTCCACAATGTCTTTCTTCCCATCATGTATTAGCAGATATTCATGATGGGAAACCTAACAAAAACAACTAGCTGCTTGAGTACCCTAATGTATCTAAAAATTTACATTTTTGTATTTAAAAATAACCAACCAAATATATTAAAAACCAGAAGGTAGGCCCAAACTTCTTAAACGGACCAGGAAAAAACAAAAAAACAACAAAATAAGCTCATCTTTGCATACATTGTACAGCCCCTGTGCTGAAATCTACTAATGAACAGGGATATTCAACTTACAGTCCTCCTTTGTCACCACATAGAGGCTATTTGGAGGGCTCAATCCACCAGCAGTGTAGGCTTGTAGGTCCAGTTGGTAACTCGTTTTGCCTTGAAGATCAAGTATTTTCAAGGACTTCTTTGTCAGGTCAGTAATATTCTTAACTTTAAGTTCTGGATTTCCTGTTTTTTGGAAGAAGTAAGAAAAACAAAACTTTGTAATAAGGGATTCACAAAGCCAGCCTCAGCTTTAGCACGACTTTCTTAAAGTCAGCATAGGAAACCTGAAGAACAGTCTGTAGAGGGACACTGAAATAAAGAATCCTAGCAGTGCTGCTTGCTTATGCAGCACCAAATGGCACAGGAGTGTGCTGTTGCTGCAGGTCGGCTTCAGTTTCTTACATTCCTGTGTGTCCTCATATTAATGTGAGTCAAGCTTCAGCCCTGTATAGAGATGTCCTTACAAGATGGGTACTGGAAGAATATACTAAATTAAATATAGCTATGTAACCTCCCCCATGTCTCATCTACCCAGGGTATCTGTACACAGGGCAGTGTGTCACATTGCCACTTAGTCACTGCATAGCTTTCTGGCCTCAGTTAGCCAGGATTTTCTCCAACTTTCGCCATACATTAAAAAACAAATGTGCCAACCACACAAGGAATTGATTATTTCAAATGTCTTTGTCACAGATCAGGGGCCAGTTATGCCAGTGAGTAATGCAACTGAATTATAAATAAAGCTTTTTTGATTTTGGTGGTTTTTTTAAGTAAAATTAAATTATTTAAGAATAAAGAAGAGTAAAAAAACAAAACAAAACAAGAACAACCCAACTTGAGCAAGGAAGTTGTGATCTATATGTTTCATTTACCTGATTCCAAAAGCCTAGGCTTTAAAGCATCTTTTTCACCTTTTGCAAAGGAAAGCCGATATCCCTCTAAAAACCCCTGACAATCTTCAATAGGAATGTCTTCCCATTTTACCAATATAGAATCTGAAGAAGTTTCTTCTACAGTAAAATTTGGTGCACGTTTTGGCGCTGTAGGGAGAATTATGAAGGAAAAAGCTTGTAAGAAAACACCTTATAATTAAATGCTATATCTATTAAGTGTTTCATCAGTTTTGTTTCAGGTCTAGCATTTTCAACTTTTTATTAAAAAAGTATTTTCCCTCACTGTCAACAATATGTGAAAAGACATATCAGGTGATACTACATAAATACAGGTATGTCAGTCGGATTGTTCCTAACTACTGCAGTATTATCTATGAACAAAAGCTGAAAGAAAAATTTCTCCTTCGGCAGTCTTTTGCAGACCCATAAATGTAAATGTCTTTCTTCCTGCAAAAAAACCCAAAAGACAGAATAAACATTCAGAGTATACAAATTAGCTTTTAAAGGCTTTAACCCTGTGACTTCACAGCTTGTCTTCAAATTAAATAAAGTCCACGTTCCTATCATGGAAATCTCTCTCAGCTTCAAAGAACTGCTCTCAGCAGGCACCAGAAGTCCTTATTCGAACACCTGCACCCCACTGAAAGTATTACAGCAGATATTGTGTAAGGTCATGTGCATCAGGACTTAGTCTGACATTTGGCATTGATCTACCAGTGCTGACCTCATGTTTACAAATACATCTATTTTTGTCTTTAGGGTTATCTGACCAAAGGCAAATCTGAAGTTTTAGAATGAATCTATGCTCTTGTGCAAAGTGAATATATTTCTCAATTCCTGATAAGTTTCTTTTGCATGCTTAATGCATTATTAGTTTTCCAAAGTTTTTATCCTTTTACCTTGAAAGATTCCAATCTCTTGAGAACATGTATGGAAAAACCTTTTGGGAAACTGTTCATTACTTTTACAGAGGCACACACAGCCTAAAGTTGAGTTTCTGGTAAAATTGCCTTAACCTCACCTTCAACCTTAACAATAAAATAAACAACAGCATTTCCAATGGCTCAGATTATGTCAGCAACTTAGTTTTCCAAGCAAACTATTTCAGCAGAAAAGACATCAAACTCTAAAGTGAAATGGGTAGTTATAATGGGATACAGTTGTGATGTTAAAGGGTAAAGCCGTGTTCAGATACCTGGGAATAGCTAGCTTTCAGACATTAATGCATCTCAGGCAAGCAAAGCTCAGCCCTGGATCAAAGTGCAGTTGCCCAGATGGGGTTGGTATGGGAGGGAATTCAACTCTCAAAGGGGCTTATACACTAGGATCTAGTTCTTGTCTAAGAAGTGCTTTTAAACCAAAATGTTGTGGACACTTTTTATGTTTGCTGAGCTGTACCAAACGTGCTCAGAAGTTTACTTTGATTTGACAAATCAAAAAAAGTTGCCTCCTCTCCTGTGGAAGTGAATCCATTACTGTGGTTCAAATTATGACTTCAATGCAGAAGACTACCACCTTCAGAGCAAACCTCTGTGACACCCTGTGGCACCACAGCAGCTGGAGAACACAAGGTTATTGCAGGCTGGGAACTCAAAGTGGCTGGAGAAATGTGTTAGAGCTATATATCAAAAATCAAGCAGAAATCAGTAGTACTGCATGGGGATCGTGGTTTCAGTCTTTTGCCAGCACCTAGCTGAAAACAGACACCATCTAAATTCACTTTGTAAGAGATCCTGTATGATAAAATGCACTTACGCAGCTCTTTCATATACCCTGTTATGTTTTTCAATAACTGATATCCACTGGGTTTGCAGCCATATAGCAAAAAGTTGTACCTCACGCCAGGCCTAAACAGAGCTGCAAGAGAAAAATCACTGTGAGAATACTTCACCTGTGATGAGTGATAATTTTAGCTTTCACATTATGCGGATTTATTTAAATACGTACTAAAAAATTAGAAATTCTTAGACCACAGTGTATATATAAATACTATCCCTACTTGTAATTCCTACAAAAGCTATGCCATCAGATGCGGTTTAGGAGCAGGAAGCAAATTAGCTTCTAGAGAAATTTTGGTTCTAAAAAAACAGGATTCAAAACAAGCTACTCAAATTGCATAAATTGCTTTCCATGGGGAAACACAAACTGAAGTTACCAGAAACAACAGCCTTCCTTTCCTCCCACAGCAGCCATGTAGATCCTGCCTCCTCCTCAGAAATACAAACACATTTTGAAATAATCAGGTTTATTACAACAATGCTTAAAAAGAAATTCAGAGAGCTCCAAAAAGTGTTAGTGAAGCACTTTATCTATGGACTCCAGGCCTAAACTGACTTTGCAGAACATGATAGCCATCAAGTTTCTGCTTCACATGTCTTTGGTGGAGGTGTTTGGTATTACAACGCGTAAATAGTTTACCACTTTCTGGGATTTTCTGAAGCCAGGGGTGCATACTACTTTCAAGATTTTTTCTAAACAAGATGTCACTGTGAAACTCTACAGAAGTCAAGTGGGTTTTGCAAGAGTTCAGATCCAGCCTGAGAAACTCTTCTGGCAGGACTAAGCACAGAAGTGTATTTCCCAGCTTGAGCCCAGCTCTAGCAGCCTAGTAACTCCCACAGCATGCTGCGAGAAGCATCCCACAGAAGAGCTCAGGACCACAGCAACACATCACTGGATGGACCTAGTATTGTCTGCCTAGAAAAAGGAAGCTCTAGCTAACACAACCAAAACCAATATGGACACAGTGTTATAGTTACAGGCAGTAAAACATATTGCCTGTCCCTAAGTTCCTACTCTCCCCCAGATCTGATATGTAGACAGCTCCGAGTTTTTTCTCTGAGACTGTATATACTAAACTCTTCTAAAAAGCAAATATACACCCTTTCAGACAGCAGAGAAAAATCCCAGATCTTTCTTGGGTACTCTCTTTCCTCTCTGCTTCTATGAGTCCCACCACAGCTGAGTTTCATTTCCCTGGTCTGCCTACCAGCATCTAGAGACCTGGAATGTGCCCTGTTACAGGAAATTTCAATTGCTGTCAGGAAGCCAACACATGGAGGTCACACTTAAAAAAAATCTGCCTCATGTAAAAACAACAAATTAGTCTTCCCTCATCCTGAGCACCGCTGTTCATGATTAGAATCCATATAAAACCCCAAACCCTAGATTAACCATTATGCATTAAGCTGAGTTAGGAATCTGCGGGTGTAGCTAGAAGAGGTAATTTCAAACCAGTTAATAAACACAGAATAAGAACAGTTAAGACTGATATTTGGATTTGGTAAGGTAAGTATAAGAAATAAAAATGAACACAGACAGTACCAAGAAGGGGTTCATTTATATACACAAGCATACAGCAATGCAACAATCTTCAACCTATTGCATTGGTTGCTTTCATTCCACTTGCTGCTCAGCCTCTCAACCAGACAGACTCACAAAAAAAAATTACTTTTGACTTACCAGACTTTATCACTGCATCTGTTGTATTTGAAGGAAATTTCTGCCAGTCCACAGTACAGGGTTCAGACCCAGATGAATGACACCATTTTACAATATAGCCACAGGTCATGTTAGGGTAAGAACTCCAAGAAATATAAATTCCATTCCCCATTGCCACTGCCCGATCTGTTTTGACATTGTCTGCAACAAAGATGACACAAAAATCCATCAGAGAGCAGACACTTATCTGTCCAAGCTGGAAGAAAGCTTTCCAGCCACAGTACAAAGGATTTATAAGCTACAGTCATTTCTAAGAACAAGAGGTGCACTCCTTGTACTGTGAAATTTGAAGCGGTGCACTCAGCTAGGCTTTCTGAAGTGCTGGAAATGAGACTGTAGCCTGCAGCAAATCCCTTAGCCAGACTTAAGTATGACGACGAGAAATGCTCTAGCTCTGGACTGGCTTAAAAAGCACTTTTTCAAGGTAAGGATTTGCAGCAGACGTCAGGTTCAGATCTGACTTGACACCAATTTGGCAGCAGCCTCCAGCTATAAATTCCTACTGTCATTTCATCAAACAGTTTGCTTTGTGTCTCCCTCAAAGTGTCTTGCTATCACTCGCCCGACCACGGACAACCATTTTTCACCAAGAATCATCAGCAAAAGTCAAGTCCCTGGTGAACTTTATGAAGGCTTCAGTCTACCAATGGTAAATAAAACAACTAAAAAAAAAAAAAAAAGGAAAGAAAAAAAAAAAGCAAGCTTAGTTTGTTTTTCTTTAGTCTGTTTTTCTTTATTCTGATTATCAAAGGTTTAGCTGCCCTTGAAGTGATCAGATCTGGGAACTACTTTTGATTCCTGCAGCTTTCCTCCATGGCTGTCCATCAGATGGGACCCCGCTGAGCTAAGGGATGTTTTCCAAAGGCCACCACAACAGCGGTGGCCCCACAACAGATCTGCAAAAACAATCTCAGGGTTTCAGTTTTTCCTTTTTCAGTGTTCTCATTTATGCTCCCTATTGAGTCTATTATTTCATGTTATTAAAGCCATAAACTATGAAAGGCTGAAGGGAAAGGGCAGTTTTTAAGAAACAGTCCTGTGAAAACTTCAGTCTCACAGATGTGTGGATGTCACAGGACTGTCTATTTCTAAATAACTTTAACATATAGCTAAGCATACAATCCTCAACTAGCTTGCTCATGGCAAGAAAGATAGACATGATTAAAAAAAGCAAGTCAAATCCAGAAGTCTTTCAATACTTTTCCTTAAAAACTACTTCATCCAGTGAAACTACATTTCTATGATGCTGGAAAAGAGCATATTTCTAATTAGACTGCTTTAATTTTCCTATTTACAGGAAAGACTTTTAACTGACAGTGAGCACTTAATCTCTAAAAAAATGCTTAAATACACCACACTCAATTTTATTTCCTGAGCCAGATGACTAGAAATTCACCCAGGGCAGTACTGCTCATTTTGGTGTATTTATAGCTGCAATCTAGACTAGTAGAAATAACTACAAGCACTACAGTACTAATGTGGCAAGGCAGCCTGTAACAGCCATGTTACATTCCCTGATCCTCTACAGAGCACTTTTTAGAGATGGTGACAAGTTAATTCAGTGCCCTTTGGTTGTGTTTTCAGTTTTCACAAAGCCTCAGTAGGTCTCAAGCTTCAGAGCCACTGCTCCCTCACAGACATTAAGAGCACTTACAGACCGTACACATGAAGCAGGCAGGAAAGATGTTTGGGCAGAAATGTCATCCAGTTCACCGAATGAGTCATCTTTCATGACTCCAGTCAGTGACTCAGATAATTCCTATACCAACTTGGGAGCAAACCTTCAATGAGTACAAGTTGGGTAACAGCAAAGGGAACCTCAGACACCCGAGAGAGAACTACAAATGAATGCAAAGCTCCAGCTGCCATTAGCTGCACCACACCACATACCTATTACAAAGACCTCCCTAACTCACAGAGTCTCATTCTTTCTCTGTTGAAAGAGAGCTATAAAAGCATTTTCATTCATTCAGCTGTCCCATACGACTACTCTTCCGTCCAAGGAGCAGACTGAAAATGGACTTTTAGGTATTGGTGTTCTGGAGAATCAAGAGAAACATTAAGAACACGGGTTTCCTTCACAAAGAAACATTTGTTTTTATTCTCACTGTGAATCTCAATCAAAGCACATACTCTCCTGAGAGAACAGCCCTGTCTTATCAGAACCTGAGCTGCAAAGCGAGCAAAGGTGATGATACCTGTTCTCTGTGTTGGGAAGGAGAGGCAGCAACATATATGCTTCTGGCAAACAAGCAGAGAGAAGCCTCTAAACCTGTTCTCCCTGCAGAGCACCAGCCAGATCTGGAGCTAAAGGTTTGGGCTTTGGGAGATTACACTCCTCCTGGTGTGCAGGGAATCATGGACTCTGAATAGCCACATGCAGTATTAACTTCTCACCAAGTTCAGTGTTTGGAGCAGAAAATCATTATTTGGCTCATCTATTTCCCTTTACAAAAGCCCACAGCAAGAGTGGCAGTGTTTTAATTGGGAAGCTGAAGTCATACCTCCTTTTCAAACAGTGGCTCCTAGCACAAGGATGCCAACACTTTACCAAGCAGCCCAATTAATATTTTCCTACAGAGCTCAGAGGCACTGAAGTGACAATTCTCTCCTTAAAAACAATACCCCCAAAACTTTATTCTGATTCTTTTGAGCATGTAACACTTTTCAGTGTCTCAACAAGAACACGCAGAAATAAACTGAGCTCCCTAAATATCAGAGATCAACACCAATGCTTAGAAGCCTCATTATTGCTGTACCAGGGAGGTCTTCAGGAAAGTGCAAATAGCTGCAGAGACCTCACACTAGCACCCTCCTTTTATGCACAGAGCACAATTAATTGGCAAGCAAAAGCAAAGCAGCATTTCTTTTTCTTCTCCAACTCAGTAGATTTGAATGGGGAAATTAGCCAGAAACCAAACACAAACAAACAAAGCACATATCTATCTTATTTTTCAATAAACAACCTCGCCCAGGTTTCCCGAAGCTTTGAGGATGTTTAGCAATCTGCTGGAGCACCCACCGCTTGGAAGTTCCACACTTGTTATTCTTGAAGGAGGAGATGAGCCTGCATGGTTTTTGGCTACAACGTTAATAACACAGTCGTTTTTTCCAAGTTTTATCTCTGTACTGTTTGATGGTTCAGTGACTTCTTTATGCTCCAATGGTGTCTCTAGCAGGTAGCAGGACACTTCATGAGACACGATTTTTCCATTGGCTTCAGAAAGGGATAAAGGCTACAAACAGACCGAGAGTGCATTAAACCAGAAATGGAATAAACCGTAAAAAACATAGGATAATAGGAATTTAATGTCCCGATTTACTCTAACAACTATATGGAACTGCAAAGCAGAAAAGACAGCTACTCAAGTGTGACTTTTGAGAATTAACACACAAGTTTGTAAGTTTTCTATTGGGATGTATTAACAACTGAAACCCCCATGTAAAATGCATCTCAGTGCAATGTTTCAATTATAAAACTTTAATAATAGTGTCATTTGGGGAAAAATATTTGCCTCAATGATTCTATAAAAAGTTGAGAAGTCCATTTCATTGACTGACTATAAACTTCACTTATTTATAAATACGTGAGGAAATAATGTTTTATGGAGTTATATTACATAATATTTTAAAACTTTAAATGCCCTAACTACCTTCCAGAAGATTTTTAGACTTTTTCCAGAAGGACTTCTCTCTCTCCAGATATCTGGTCCTCTTGTAGGAGCTAAAGAGAAGAAAAAAAAAAAAAGAAAAATAGAGGCAGTTTACCATGTATTAAAAGTTAGCTTTGCAGATGTCTGATTTTAAAATGCATAACTTCACAAGTTCAACATTTTGTCATCAAAGAATCAAATAAACTTACGAGCTTCTAATGTTGTGTGCTCCTCTACCCTGCTCCAGTCACTCCACTTCCAAAAGTGGTTAGCAGCCGAACAGCGCACCCTGAACTGGTATTTTGTATATGGATGCAATGAATTCAGCTCAGCTGTGTAAGTCGAGAATTTTCCACCAGGCATGGAGACATTGTGCTGTTAAAAATGTATATAAATTTACATGATACATATATATTTTTTGCTCTTACATTATGCTGAACGTCAACACCTGAAAAAGTGGAATTTGTCCCTGGGACAGTGACACTGTGAAAAAAAAGTTGCAGTCAAGCCTTACAAAGAAATTAATGAAAAATAAAAGCGTTTCCTATGCAGCCACCTAAGTAAAGGATTTTCAGAGGTCTGAACAAAATTAAGCCATACATAGCAAAATAAAGCTACAGCTATAGCACAGAAATTGACATAATGACAGTAGGTAGCACCTTTGAGACACACAATATGAAGAGGAGAGACAAGCTCTGCACACGGTAGCAGGCTGTTGCTTCCCATCTATACCATCCAATTCCCCTCTCTCCCATACACAGCAAAACTGCTCACATGAGGCAGGCCAGGATTTCACCTTTGGTATTCAGAACCCACTCTTTCACTGTCCATATGCACATCAAACTGGGTGGACAGAGGCCTTTCTCCTAAGACACATGCACAGAAGCAAACTAAAGACTGTCTGATCAAGATGTTTATCATGCAGTATTTTTCCTAGGCAGCCCTTTTTCCTCCAAAAGATAGTGTCTAAGCCTTACCCAGGTGATCTCTGTTCACAGCTGTTGTGACAGGACTAGTCTCCCTGTTAGTCTTAAAATGGTGCAAGTCTAGGGAATGTTTCAGTTTCATGATTGCTTAAAGAAACCCTAAGCCTGGGAATATTTTTTTACTGAATCTAATTATAACACATGTGCATCACAGCTGCCAAAAACTGGACTCCAAGTGATTTTAAGATGCAACTAATTGTGCATTTCTAAATCCAAATGACAACTTGAAAAACACAAAAAAAAGCCAACAATTTCTCATACGGATGGAAAAGCTTCTGAAAACATCTCCAAAATACCACGTAAAACCCCATAACAATTTCACAGCTACTTTTGTTTATTACAGAGAACTCTTGGAGGTTTTTTTATTAAGCAACCAGGAACAACATAACAAGGCTGTAAAAGCTTCTATGAGGCTGTTTGCTGTGTTTCAAAATATCTGTAGCTGTGTGTTCTGGTACAGGTGCCATGAATCAAATTGCTGAGGCAGCGTTAAGACCTGACCATACTCCACTGCCCCAGATGACTGACCTGGTAGCACAGTTCCCAAGCAAGTGCATGCCACAGGCTTCACGCAGTGTAACTCTGGCTACACAGAACGGTGCAAATCTACTTTTTAGCAGCTTAAGCTAACTGAGCACGGGGTGAGTGATACTAGTGTGCTCGCTACCCTGCTGACGGCTCCAGAAGCAGTAACCGTTGGGAGCAGAGACTTGCAGACAGCTGTGGGTGATGATGGATCAGACTATACCCCAAAACCCAACACAGCTCATCTGTCAGAGCTGTTATATACTTCTAAAAGCCATCTCCTTCTGTTAATTCCAAAAGATGACTTCTTTGCAAATCTCTGATTACTACTTAACACGTCATTAGAGAGAAAACGTAAAAGCTTAAGTTTCCCACAATCATTAAGTGCTTTGAAAATATTTAAAAAATACTCTTACAGAGCATGCTTTAACTACCACTCTATTATTTTACAGGCAATGCAGATAACAATTATCTTCAGTCTTAGCTGTATCACTTCTGTGGCTTGAATGACTTTATTCAAGGCTGTGCTCAACAGCTGTGCCCAGTGGGCAGCTAAATGCAGTGGGTAATTGAATACTGCTAAAAATCAAGCAACATTGTAAAAAGCAGCCTCTGAGGTTAATGTGCTCAAATTACAAATTCAGGCTGTGTGCATCAATAGCTGCCAATTCAGCATATGCCTACCCAAGCTGGTCAGAAATACTCCACCTGAAGGCACAAATACAGAATTTGGGGATGAATCTCAGGCCAACTGAACATGCAGTTCTGCCACTAGGCTTCCCAGTGACACAGATCACCCCATGCTATGTTAGGCAGTACGGAAGAAGAGGCTATATTCCCACCACCTACTGATGCTGGTGTCTAAATTAGTATCCTCAGTGACTCTGATAGCAGAGAAAATATGCAGCTCCTGTCAGTGACACACAGCACCAAAGCTGGGCAGCAGCTGGAAGATTTAATGCTGGAAAATCTTATCTCCAACCAGAAATACCACCTTCTCTCCTGACACACCCAGCAGGAGAATCCTTCTCTATCCTGTCCCTACACCATTATGTTTAGCAGCTCCCTACTGTAGCCACATGCATGCCAACTGCTGACAACAAGCAAATGAACTGTTCTCTAGGTAGAAAAAAATAAAAAAGAAATTCAGTGACAGACTGTAAGAGGCCCTCTGAAACAACCACTGTGGAAGTCAGCAGGGCAGCAGCATGTCCTGGAACCTATGCTTGCTAATACATTTGCACCAGGAAGGACAAAGCACATGGACCGCTACCTAAAGGGTCAGCATAAAGCACTATGCACCTTCTCCAAGTACTGAATAACATGGTGGGTAATATGACTTCCCTCTAGAATGTTTAAAACAAACAAAAAGAGAAAAAAAAAAAAAAGCACGCAGTAACAGAGATGAGTAGAACTTTTTCCAATTTTAGTAGATGAACTTCTAGTTATTACTGGATTAATCATTTAATAAGATGATCAGAATGAAGCTCTTAGGAGAGAAAAGAATTTGAAATGTGACTAGTTCAGTGAAAAAGATCAACATTAGCGCCCCCTCTAAAAAAAAAATCCATTAAAAGCAACACTTACCAGTTTTCGCTCAGAGTGACCAGTGCTAATTTCTATTTGACACAGAAGCCTGATCTCAGCAAAGCTGCCATTTATAAACCAGTGCAGACGGACACTTGTCGAGCTTCTCCCAGAAACAGTTAACTTTTCTGGAGTCTTTGGATGAACTTAAAAAAACAAACAAAAAAACCAAACACCTCAACTCCAAGAAAAGATACATTCATTTTAGTTCAGAAAAATCTGATTTTAAAAGATCACACAGAATCAGGATACGTAAGTGATCTGATCAGCAGCTAGTATAGCTGGTGCTGGGAAGGCACCTGCAAGCATTCTCATTTTTGCCACTCAGCTGTCAAACATGGGAACATTTACTTAAGGCTAAGCATAAGGAGTTGGAGACAAAAAAAAGCCTTTACACTCCAACTTCTTTTTATCACAAAAGTGAAACATGAGCTATTTTCAGAGGACCACAGTCATGGATGAAATTTATTCAACTTTTTTCACCTTCTGTGAGTTTTTCAAGTTAGAATCTGCAGAATAGGAAAGGGTAGGACTCCTATATGACCCTTCTCTCCCCCAAAACTCCCTTAATAGAACTTTTCAACAATATTCAGTACTACTACTATTCATAGCTATCAGACAAAAAAAGTCTCTACTCTTGGAACTGGTCCAGTTACCATAAGGAAATACGTACTCTATGCTGAGAATTGAGTGGACAGTGAGGGAAAGAAAGGAAACAAATAGGAAACAGCAGTCATATTGACTTGCTGCAAACCAGCCCAGTATGTAATTAACAGAAACAATTCATGCTTTACTAGGACCTGTCAATTTACTCTGACAATTCTACTCTCAGGCTAGTTGAACTCAGACATGGGCAAAAGAAATGCACCATCTTCACGTTTAAATTCAGTTCTTCAGAGAGAACAGCAGAACGCTGTAACCATTAGGACAACAGCAGAACGCTGTAACCATCAGGAACCCCTGAATCATCAGCTGCAGTTTTGGAGGCAGATGGGCAAGGATGGGAAGGACAGCGGTGACAAGGTAGTCATCTTCTCTCTTTCCTTGTTTAAACTGAAGGTCTAATGAAAGAAGTTATTTCTTTCTACAAACCATGACAGCAGATGATCATAGCTATTACCAATAGCAGGTAATAGTCCTGCTATTAGCTTTTACCTTTTAGTGCTACTTTTTAATATTCCAAATCCTGTTGTAAAATTGCATAGTATCTTACTCCATAAGCATACACTGAAGTACAGGGTCAGATACAGTTCATGAAGTTACATCTAAATTTTAATTACTGATGTAATAGAATATGAAGAAATCCATAAACACCAGCTGGCTAAAGTCTTAGATCACAAGTAGCATCTACCCACACAGCAGCATACCCAATCTGGTAGCACTGCTGTTGACAACTGGCTTCTCCCTGTACACCTAATCATCGCCTCAGGACATGTCCTAAGCCATTTTCTTCTGAAGTGCAAATTATCAAACATGGAAAAATACTGGTGACAATACAGCACATAAGGACAAGAGTAAAATGTCAGAGTTCTTCAAACTCAAAACAAGCAAATGGTTAGCATGTAGTAAACATGTATTTTTTTGCCTTTGTAATTCTTAAGTCTTACCTCTTTGAGTTAAATCAACTAAAAGTGATGACTCTGTTCGCCCGATAGGATTGGAGACGCCTAATATGAAATCATAGTTTTTTTGATCAGCCAGTACTGGAAAGCCACAGACACGCTCTCTGTTCATTTCATTGACTTTGCATGAAACGTTTTTACCAGATATTCTGCAAAGTTAAAAAAAGAGAGGGGACAACTTTATTTTTGAATTAGATCATTTCAAGCAGTCAAGTCTAGACTGAAAACACAGTAAAGAATGATGGGTTCACTGACACACGGCTTACAGCAGGATTTGACTGCAGAAGCATATCTAACACCACAACACAGGTAAAAGTGGCATCAGACATGACTCGCCCTGTTCTCACGTGAAACTCTCCTCTTTCACTAGCCTAACATTTCCATCCTCTCACTTCTCAAAAGCCTGGAAAACAGGTAGGTCCTGTAAAACCACCTCACAAGTCACAACTAAGATTCTGATTAAAAATATCTTTGTTCAGATCAGCATACATCTGCGTTTAAAGAATGTTCTTAATTGCCTTCTGATCTAGGGAGATGCGACACACATTAAAGTCCTTCTATCAACCCTGCCAAATCTAAACTATGATTTGTTACCTGGGATGCATCCATGAGTCCCAGTCTTTTCTAAAATCAAAAGCAGGAAAGTCATTCTGGTAACAGCCAAGACAAGAGTTACATCTTCAGGGGTAAAACCTAAAGTGTGCTTCTGTATGTATGTATGTACATATATAGAAGTTCCTTTAATTAATATCTGTATAAACCTCTTATTCAGTAGCAGAAGTTTAATTCCTTCCTTCAGGCGCTTTTGCTGAGCTCTGAGCTCTCTCTACACTGTAATCTATTCTACTGAAACAGAATTTCACTGTCTCAGTGTGGGCTAAGAACAATGATGAGAATATTTACCCTGAAAGACATCACATTAATCTCCTCACAGCTTTGGGCTGAATGAAACAAGCCTGAACTACATCCTCATTTATGAGCTGAATATGGGCAGCCAGTGACTGGAGCTCCTTTCCATTGAATACCTGCTCTGTTTTGTCCATCTCTTTGCATCCTACCCAATGACTTCTTTAGCATTCTGAACTACATCTGTGACCATAACTCAATCCTCATTGCCTCTAACTTGCTTCAAAACCACTATGAGACTCCATTTCCCATCAGTTTGTGTGACTCAGGCCCCTCCTGGCTCCTTTCCCTGACTGCTCCTTTGGCATGACAGGGGAGCCTCCTTGCCACGGGAATTTTGTTAACTCCTCACTAACTTCTAACCACCAAGGAATCCTATTTGCAAGTACTATTCCGAAACAACAATTCTTCACTTTCAAGGCTTCACGTGGCCTAATAAGGCATACTAGTAGGATATGAGTCTTCACTTCTTTCTATGGATATGCCAGTGTAAGTCATTCCCTTCAATGTTTTCCAGGTAACATGCACTTTGCCTGCTCTACACTATCCGGTTCTTAATGCTGGGAGAACAGATGCAGGCTTACTGATATTTTCTCTAGCAGCTTCTGAGAAATGCTCCTTGGCTTGTCTTACAGTTGTTCTTCGTGAGTTTCTGTCATTTGCATATCAGAAACTCAGTAAATGTCTAACAGATGATCTGATACAGGTTGCATACAAAAGTATTTAAAAAGCAATGAATAACTCCTATTATCTCCCCGTACTTTCATACTGGTCTCCTCTACATGTGGGCAGCAGCCTGACACGCTAAGCTCTTCACTTTCTCAGGAGTTCATAACAGCATAACTCTTTGGGAAAAGTCAGCCTTAATTCCCACTGACAGTTTGCAGAGCTGGACAAGGGTTCTCCAAGTTCAGTTTCCTTCAGTTTGCACAAAATCTTGAGAAGTATTTTAGGCTCTAAACAGTGGAGAATATCTTATTTAAACAGGCATGGTGCAGTAAGTCATAGGCAGCGATGGATATGTTCCAGTTCTACCTTTTTACTCATTTTAGTGCTGAAATATTTTACCTTTCAAATAAACTGTACTTAGTACGTCGTTTTCCGTACAGTCCACTGGGTCTGCCTGGTTTCCAGGTGCATTTTATTATCAGGAAGTTGGATGTTTCACAGCTGAGGTTTTCAGGAATGTCAGGGGCATCTGTAGCACAAAAGGAAACCAAAAGAGTTAGCCGATGTTTTACCATCCTAGTGGGGCAGTTGGGTTGCTAACTTCCTGAAATCATCACCATTCATTTTTGCGGGGTCTAGATTGAGTACCTCAGAAATACATGGTAATAGTTATCCTCCAACCATACAAATAATACGCTTTAAAAAAACCCCAGTGAAGCAGATGGGTAATTATCATCAGCCCCATCTGACTAACACTTCATTCTAAGCCTCTAAGTGGGTGGGTAATCTGGTAAATCACATGCAAGTATGCTCACAAGCTCCAGGCTCTGACCTGGAAGTGTTTCACTGAAACTCTGGCAAGACTGTTCCAAAATTCTGAGCATCAGCATAGCCGCTGAGCAATGTAGGAATGCCGTTGCATGTGCGTCACATTTTCTTATGTGCCAACCCCACCGCTGCTTTGAATTCTCTAAGCAAGTCATGTCAAGGAGATGTTCCCTTCAGCATGAATTCCAGACTGAATTTGAAACTTAAAGCAAGGCCCAAATGGCTCATCCCCTTCACGGGTGCTTTGGAAATGCCCATCTTTTTTCTTTTAAAGCTTGATCTTTGCTCCCATGTTAGAGTGGTGTTGAGTGCCTACCTGGAAAAGACAGGCAATGATCCCAGCAGAGAAGATAACCATAAGAATGTAAGACTAATCAGAACACTTATTTCAAGACTCATGCACTTTTCTCCAAAAGATAGCACAATAATATCCTGTACTTGCCCTAACACAAAAGGCCACTGTGGCAGGCTTAGTTCAGAATGTGAGTAGCAGGCCAAGAGCACTTATTTTGCCAGACCTAGACTTAACTAAGGTGATGTCCATACACATTTACTTCCTTTATCCTTTCTTCCCAAAATGTCTGTCATAAGCAAAAACATCATGGCAAGTTCTCTCCCTTCTCACTCAGCAGGTACTAGAAGAAACGCTGGCAGGAAACAGACTTGACCATATCCCAGCTCTTCAAAATCACTGTATGGGAGAAACCTGGGGAATTATCACAGACTCTGATCATAAACCACTGACTTATTTACCAGGAAGATTCTCCCACAAAAGAAAATATTGCACAAATAATGTAAAGAAGGAATCTCACTGGGAAGTCATATGAAGTTGGATTGTCTTGCATTTGTTGCACACACTTAATACACAAAGTCAGTGACAGGAGACACAGGCTGAAACTGTGAACAGACTTTCAGAACTAGTCCAGTCTCTCCCTTCCTCAGCCACAAGGACGCTAACTTCACAGGCAGGCATTTGTAATGCGGAACAGGATTCTAAAACCGCTGTGGAGAAAACCCACAAATCTCTAAAGTGAACGATTTTGGGAAAGAAGACCAGCTACTTTCACTTGTTTGCTTTAAGAAGTATCTGTATGTGGAAGAGATTTCTGAGGCTGGCATGGCTACACAGAGAAGATACACAGCGATTCAGTATATTTAAAGAAAATACTAAGAGAATGTTTAGAAGGTTTTCCAGGAAAGAGGAACTGTCAACTAGGTTCCTTCGCTGTGACTAGCTCCCACAGAGCAACTGCTCTGGATAAGCATCTGTTGCCTTTGCAAGTGTAACTGTTTTACTGTTTAAATTTGAATGGTTGGAAGATAAGTGTTTTCACTTACAATTCTTGCTCTTACTCTCGCCTTGCAATGGACCAAAATAGAACAGATGTAAAACCTAAACTGATGGAGACTGCAGATGAATCTTCATACAGCAATAAACAACTAATTATTCCAGATCACTAAGAAGCACCTTAGAAAGATATGAAAGAGAGAAGCACTGGGCCAGGTTCTAAGAATGGAGGGCTTCCACAGAGAAATCAAACCAGTACAATCCCAACTGAAACTTCAGAAACAAAAAGTCAGGGGAAAAAAGCCACAGTAGTATTTGGTTTCTAGCAGAACTTTAACAGTTTCAAAATTATGTTGATTTTTTTCCCTAAGGTTAGTAAACATGATACATACATCCTACAAATAAGACAGCTCCATCAGTCCCATCTTCGGACAGTGTGCACACTGCATTTGTTCCACTGGCATCTGAAGCACTGGCATTCAGCACTCTGATTGCACTGCTCCGGCTACTCAGAGGTATCATTGGATATATTTCTGGTCCATAAGTCATCTGTTTTATCTGCTGTCCTTCTTCATGGACACAACAAATTGTCAAATCTGAACCTACTGCCACCACAATGTCCTGAGGAAAGACCCCACTCCCGTTGGGCTCGGTATCTTTTCCTATCAGAGAAACAAAAAACAGAACCATGGCACTGATCAGCTAACACATGACTGAGAAGCACTCCGAAGCATACAAATCAACGTTTACTAGGTTTCATTAACTAATGATTGCGTTATTTCTCTAATCAAAGCACCTCCCAAAGGCAGCAGTCAATCACTACCTAATGCTCTTCCTCTGATTTCGGCTTACTTTTCATAAAGCAACCAAAGCCATGTGGTGGCAAGGGAACAAACATACCAGGGACCTCTCCTACTGGGCTCCATTCACTCCAGTCCTTGGGGCCAGCAAACTGTGTTACATTAATGTAACAGCGAATCTTCACATAGTGCGATGTACACTCCAGAGGCATATCTGATGTCCAGTTCCAAGACAGAATGACGTCTTCATGAGTCAGTTTCGAGTAGTAAGTTACCTACAAAGTTTTACCCCCCCAAAAAGAAACAACCAAGAGAGAGTTTATGAACACCTGTTAGTAATGACATACAATCTCCCAGGTGTCAACAGAATTGCAAATTAAGTGAAGTAAATCATAAAATCCTGATAGGTGATTGGAGTGTCCCACCTAACTTTGAATTGTGTTGTGAATTTCCTTGGACAAAAGCCTAAGATACTAAACAGCCCACCAGCCAGGTAGACTCTCAGCCAGAAATACCAGAGGGCAGACATTTGAGAGAGCACAGGAAGCCTGGCACACATTTTAAAATGTATATATTGCATCCCAGTACCCTGGGCCTCTCCCGGGCAGGGAAATATTCCAACTGTTCCAAAATGAAACTTCTGATATTAGTCCCAGGCTATACATTTTATCTTTTCTCCATTCCCAAAAGTTATAAAACAGAGCTACAAATTGTCCTGGAATAACTGTGGTTGCAACTAGATTAAAAACAAACATGCTGTGACTATGAATAAGTACTGACAGGATAGTAGCCAGTGTTCTCATAACTTTGAAACTTCATAAGGTTGCCTAACAGAAACATGTCTACACTCAGGTTCTGCAAAGCTCTACAATCTTCATTATTCTCAGCTTTTTTCAAATGATCTCCTACAGTATTACCAAGGGCAAAAAATATATATACATTTTTAACAGAGAAAGAAAAGGACTTACTTGTGTGACTTTTTCTGTTGCTTCTTTACGGAGTACCTGAATCTGCCAAAAGGCATCCAGTCCATATGGGAAGATTAATCCATTATCGCTCCACTTCAGATTTAAGGTGGAAGTTGAAAAGTCAGGTGTCAAACTAAGGATGCGTGGAGTAAGAGGAACAAACACTTGAAAAAGAGAGGGGAAAAAAATCAGTATTAAAGTCATTAGTCAGCAACACAGCCCTACAGGTGTTTAACAGCCACATCTCTGCTCTGAACTGGCTAATAGCCATACAAACATGCAACTCAACCTCTGTAATTAGAGCAAGATGGGCTCTGTCATTACTTGAACATGAAAGTTCCCAGGAAAGCACAGGTGCTGATGAGTCACCAGGTAGCATTTTAACTTCTCAGCATGCAGATGTGTAAGATCACGAATATGACTCTTCATAATGCATAGTAAGGAAGACAACCTTCATTCAGTGCCGCAGAGATAGAGGAAACATGGCGACAGTCTTTGAAGTGTACATGAGGACACATCTAGGGAGGATGATGGAAAATACCCCAAAGGAGGAAGTGAGTTTTGCACACCAGTAGGGAAGAGGGGACTTGGAACAAAAGCAAGAGTAGGAAGAAAAGAGAGCAAAAGCATAGGGTGGAAGAAGCTCATATGAGCCTCTGAAAAGTATCATGGGGAATGTGATTTTAAGCTAGAGGAAATATTAAAGGCATGACATGGTGATGGGGACAAGACAGGGAGACTAAACAGAAGCATCTCTTCTTTGAATGGGTGGTGGTGAAGCAAGAGGCTGAGAAACAGGTGAGGATTATGGTAGTACAGGAGTTAATGGCAGTTCATTGGGCCTGGTGCAGGATGATTCCTGGTTTTTAAATGTGTGATTTATCCAACTTCATGCCTGGCCAAGCCTCTGAAAGCCTGCAAAGTGTTCATCACAGTCAATACACTGCTCGGGATAACCTGTGATGAACTGAAAGATTTATCCTCCCTGAAGTAAGCAAGATGCTGGAAAACCCAGTGTGCTGCCCACATATTTTTGAGTAATGTTTGGTTAAAGTTCTTGAGCTGGTCTTAACTGAAAAGCAAACTGAACCCACAGGTAAGAAGTGCTACTGACACTTAGAAGTCTACTGACTTTAGATTGACTGCATAAAGGAACAATGAGACAAACCAATATCAAAGACTAAATTATGAGCAAGTATGGCAGATGGTGTCAATGCCATCTTCAGCTTACAACTTCATCCTTTGGAAGGAAGGAATTTGGCAAAAGTCTAATTTATCTGACTCCAACATGATGCAACCTACCTCTCAAGAATAAATGTATTCGCTCAGTTTTATATACTTTTCAACAGAGTGGGTAAGTTGGGCATATATTAAGAAAATCTGGTCTTGTCAGGAGAGACATATGATATAACTTCCCTTAAAATGCTGTGAAATTGCAGGAATAAATTTCATTCTGTAGCTATTCAGTATTTAAGATGGATGAACAGGCATTAGGAAGTTTATTCTGCCTTTCCCACGCCAAGTCTGACCAAATGCACTTTATGCCCCATTCAGGTGCATCAGTATGCAGATTAGAAACTTGTTTACAAACCCTTCCTCATCTGCAACTAGGGAAAAAAAAAATAAAATTTAAGTGTGATTAGCCTGTTTTCTTTGTTGTCCTCTGATATGAGAGGTTTTCTTTCCCCTCATACCTGTATGTATGGTAGGTTCATATGGACCCAACACATCAACATTTCACATACATGAACATTGCCAAAGAAAACAGTGAGCATACACACTTCTGGAGCATTGTTAATCGCAGTATAATGGCATTACATATACACATAAAACCTGATGCTTACAGATATCCTTCTTGTGAATTTCAAATTCTTTGGTAGCAAAAGGAATTCCAGAATTGCTGTTTGTAGTTATTGTCACAGTGCTGGAGCTATCTGGGACTGGAATCTCAACCCTTTTCTCCTTAGTTTCGAAACACACAGAAGGAGGGAGGTCACTGAAAAGACAGAGAGGATTAACCAGGCATGTAAGTTGATGGGAAACTAAGCAAAGTTAAATCCTATTCCCTAGGACATTAATAAAACACAAATTCTCCATAATATAACAGAGAGCTGCATATCAAATTCATGAATGAATAAGACTTGCATGGGATTTGCTTAGTATATTAACAGGTATTCCCTCACCTTGCAAGTCACTTTTATCTTAGTGATAGACTGTGCACTATTTGTATAATGCATCAACCCAGTTGTTAAGAGAATCTCCAAAGTGAAAAGTGGACTTTCAAGCAAAAGACACATTTCTGAAACCTACAGTCAGCATGAATCAGTATTTCAAAATAAGCAAAATCCAAACCTGCAAAATTCATCAGTACCTCCCCATCCCCTTTTGTTTTCTGACTCTTCCTCCCTCCATTTATTCTCTAAGCAATGGCATATGGGTGCAAAGAGCAGGTTTACCCATCTGTGTCCCCGTATTAGAACAAACAGCTCCCTTCTGGTGCTCAGCTTGTGGGGAAAGAGCAGAGGGCAGGGTAGAGAATTGCTAAGATCCCAGATGGGAATACAGTCTGCGCTCAATGTTTGTACAGCACTCAGCACAATGTGATCTGGCCTTTCTCTGGAGGTTGTAGATATATAGAGGAAACAATAATGGATGGGTCAAGTCCCTTTGCTCATTATCACTGATATGCAACTAGAAAGGCAGAAAGTTTGGAAAAATCCAGACCTTCCTCTTGGGGGAATGATGGGAGGAAGGAAAGCAAAGAGAACAATGCCAGACTTCCTGCTGAGGGACTGTTACTCACTCATGAACTGGAACAGGACACTGGAGCTCCCTTCAGCTGGAGTCAAGAGCTTGGGTTGAACTTTTAAGATTCACGCAAGGCTCTGGGCTAGAGAAGGCCAGCTGAGACTTGAGTGCTCAGGAAGGCTATTCCTCTTCTGTACTGAGATATTATTAGAGGATGTTTGGGCAACTGAAAAACAAAATCTTTTTTCCTCAGGGAGATCTGCACTAAGCTCAGCCCTCAGCTTCTTTGCTTCAAGGACTAAAGCCTATTCTGCTTTGCTAAGGAGAAACAGCAGCAGCTCCATGCTGTTTAGAGGTTCAGGTTCTTGTTTAGAGGTCAATACCTCATGAACTCTATGCTCCTAAACTCTGGCCAGAATGTCAAATACATGTCTTTTTTTTTTTTTTTTCTCTTTTTAATAGAAATGATAGCTGGCAGTGCAGGAGGAATAACCAGACACAGAAAATCAAACACGTAGGTGGAAGAAGTTCAGCCAAGCCCTGGGACCCCAAGGACAAGTCTGGGCCGCTTGCAGAATTTACAGGAAAAAAAGACGGTACAAATCTGGACTGGGGGCAGGATCAAGATGCAAAAATTATTTGATCTCATCCCTAGCACATGATAAGTATTTGGCAGACCCACAGCATGGGGAATTGAACATGTAGTTCTCATTAGTGAAAACATACTGAAGATCTAAGTTTTTCAATGTTTGTCAAAATTTTCAACTCGCATTCATTTTGGAAAGCTATTCTAACTGTGGAATAATTTTTAAGTTTCCTCTAATACTATGCTCTCCAGACAGCTTAATATTTATAAAGGTTGTAAGACACCCACCAAGAGATTTTTCATGTTTTTCCACATGTGAATCTCAACACTTATGTCATATATTCTACCGCTTTGGCCCATAACATCAGGATCCACTTCTTCCAACTATCATTTCCTTTTGGATTAAACCTGGTATGAAGATGTCCCTCATGAAAACTCTGAGCAAGGCTTAGGCAGGCACACAGAGAAGTCTGAGTAAAAGAGAGCATCTTCCAGCCGTTTGAAGAGAACAGGCAGATTTTGGCAGCAGAATTGTTATCATGAAACACGACTTTGCCAGAAACCCCGCCACTGCCTGCGTTAACAGTGCCTGGAGGGAGTACCACCCAAGGAAAACTGAAGGGGGGATGCTGGGAAACAACAGCATCACAAATTCCATGGGCTGTGACTGAGGGACAGCTATACTTTCAACACAATTTGGCAGTTTTCAAACAGGTATATAAGAGTATTACTTGGTAGTGTAGCAAAAGTCAGTTTGTCCATGTCTTCCTTCAGACAAGACATCCCAAGTACAGATCATTTTACGCAAATTGTGTGTTACACATTTCAAATTCCGGGGTTGCTCCAGAGAACCTGAAATCGTAAGAAAGAGATATAAACTGCAAGTCAGAAATGACCATCTGTAAAACAACTGCTATTGTTCACATCTATAGACATTCTTTTTGCATTTTTATTGCATGCATGTCTGGCCAGTATTTTGAAACTTTTGAAGATTTGTGTGCCTGGTTACAGAGGCCACAGACAGCCAGATTTCTAGAATTACCTAAAATCTGGGTTCATAACTTGTGTGCAACAACACAGGCGTTTGTCTCTTGCTACAATACCCATTTCTAACCTAGACTAATAAGCAGGCTTTGAGCCAACGTCAAAACCACAGGCTTTGATGATAAATTTAATGAGTTTTTTACCCTCCTGCGTTGTCCCATACTGAGGATAATTAATGACAGAAGGGCAATCAAAGATAATGTGTGAAGTAGTTGCAGACAGTCAACATATACAGCAAGGAGGTATCAATACTGACATTTACACCACCTGCATAAGCGGACTATCACTGTTGCATTATGGAGAATGTAACACCCAATTTTGTACTTGTATACAAGATGCCACTGGGTACCTGAAAGCAAGAGATCAGGCTTGGTAGTAACTCTATCCCTTGGACACTGTGGGACTATAGAAATCACAGTTTTTGAACATACATATAGCAGGAAAGCAATGTAATTAAATGGTGTAGGTACAGAAGCTACAAAGAAAAAGTAATTAGTTAATACGTTGCAATAGACTCACCTATCTCCTTACTATATATTAAGCTTCTTAAACATAATACAGCTAGTGCTAAAAGGCAGCAGACACTTGAATTCTTCCACATTCTTCTACTGTTTGTTTTTCAGAACAGCAGCTTCAAGCAGGAATAAATGTCATCTTCCAACAAGCTGGTCAGTTCTAAAATTAAAACCAAGCAAACAAACAAACAAAAAATTGAAATTCCAGAGCTGCTGCTCCAGAAATGCCACTTTTTGTTCCATCTACTTTTCTTCCTTGGCACTGCTCCCATGTGTAGCAACTCCGTTGTTACCTGGCAGGTAAACCTTTTCACTGTACAAGCCACTTCTTGATGCGTATTTTTTCAGGAAGACATTTCAGACATAACCTCAAGAATCACAGACATGTAAGACTCAACTGTTCACAGGTATCCTTCAGGACTATCTGAGGCCAGAACAGAATAGACATGGCAGGTCTCTCAGATGAAATACCACATTCACAAAAGGTCTTGCATGCAGTGAATGGAAATGTCCCCTGCTTTGGATATGGTATAAGGGGATAGGACAGCCCACCTGTTTTCCTCTCACCTCTGCTCATTTTTCATATTGTTGCTACGCAAAGCCATGAGATGCCCAAGACACTGCAGAACCAGATATGATCACCCAGGATCACTGGTTCAATCCACTGCTAAGAAATAACGTCTGGAGGACAAAAAGGGGGGGGGGGGGGGTTGTGGAGGGAGAGACAAAAGATACTTGTTGCTGTAAATGCTAACCTTAAGGTAAAAATTATCTAGAATATTACATTTAATCTGTTCTTTGAAGATTAATGGGTTGCATTTTCCAACAAGAAGTTTGACTTTTCAGCAGAATCTGGGGAACACACTCAGTTCCATCCACACATCAGACACCACCAGTTTTTCTCTCACAAAGAAGACTACAAGAAAGCTTATCCTAAAGCCCAGCCAATCCCTGGTGCATTGTTTCCCTGCCATTTGAAAGCTCTGAAGACCTGAGCACCCTCTCAGAGAACACAGCTCCCATGTAAAGAGGTGTCTTCTCTCAGTGACCAGCTGGGCTATTTTCATCTAAAAACATAGCTGAGCTAGCCTCTCCTACAGAACGGTTTTGTGAAACTCCCATTTTGTCCAGGATACTTCTTCTAAAAGTCTGAACTGGAAGGGCTCCTAACTTTGCCTTAGAAATCTCTTCCAAAGTACATCATTGTCAGAATAACAGACTTTTCTTAAAGCCTCTGTAATTTTAAAAGAAAACTCTCTTCACTGATGTCTTCTGCATCACCAGGAATATGCTCCCCCATCCCTGCAATACAACCACATCATTTTGTTTCTTTTTTCTTTTTTTAAGGAATTCTCTCTCTAGGGACAGCTGGGAATGCCCCAAATGCTCTTCTGTTCCTCACCAATCTGCATTTTCAAGGAGAAACATATCAGCACTATGTCAGATGATCCAGAGGTGTTCTCAAGGGGCCACAGAACTGAGAGAGTTGGTATGGTAAATGCCACTGTTATATCTGGAGGGCAAAAATATCCTTAAAACTTAACAACTATTTTATTTTGACCATGCTCTCAAGCCACTTGAAGACCTCACTAAAAACATACTAATTTAAGCTGTATTATTGCCAGACACATGAAGTTCTTCTCTCATATGCTCCTAAGCTGTAACATCCATGTCATGCAACTTGTTAAAAGCCAAATCAAGAGTGAAGTTTGACAAAGCCATGTTCTTTCTGGTAAAGATAACTCAAGAACCCCCCAGCACATAAAACATAATAATCTTTGTGCCAGAAGTCCCCCCACTGCATTTTCGTGTCTCTCAAGGTCTTTGTATTGTATTTGTCTATGTTACCAATAAAAATATTAGGATATTACCTCCAGGTTTAAACTTTGCTCAGAAACCTAAACTTTGCTCTGAAACCTTCATCAAAAATATGAAGACCATTCAGACAGACCTAGGAGTTACACGAATAAAATGATGATTTCTATTTGAGGTGTACATGTGAATTATGTATGTTTGTTTGTGACTTCTTCAAAGGTCATTTCTGGTTTGCAGAAAAGTCCAAAATCAGTATTTCAAGTTTTATTTCAAGATCACTTAACAGTTCCCTATCACCTGGCAGAAGAATGAAAACAAGGGAAAGCACTGATGACACTTGAATGAGAGAAAAATGCATTTTGAAGTTAATTAAAACCCAAGACTCTCACTTTCTGAACACATTATCTGTACAGGGTTGTTCAAAAACCTGTTTGGTCATACCAGGTTTATGAGGCAGATTCAGTAACTACACGCATGTGTGTGTATATGTGCATGTTTCAAGAAAATCATCTGGTTTTCTGTGTATTCTTTCAATACATACTTTACTGAGTATGTCCCCTACAGCAGACGTTTTAAGAGTAACATCATAGCAGTGAATTACAAGAAATTCGAGTCATACCGAATTCTCCTAACTCAAGCACAGTTTTAATTTCTGTTTCAGAACCAGGCACCAAAGGGAACCTATGTATTTTCATGCAGAGCATGATGAGAGTCTTGTAAACCACAATCTTTTGTAAGAAGCATAGACTCCCTGGCTCTTGTCTTCTCATACACATTTTATAGATTGCTCAAAAGCTGGCAATTCGAAGCCTCATGTCGCATAATAAATGTCATTACTAAGGAGAAAAGATCCCCATTTCTGGGCTTGTTTTAATTATGGAGTTACAAAATAATTGAATCCTTTAAAAATAGGAAGTTCACTTTCTTTGGATGAAAGCTGCCTTCCATCAGTTCAAGTCTTAATTCAAACAAGGCATGGAGGGCTTTACTCACCCTAGGGAAATATGAAAAGCATGTTATGCTCTAGGCAGATGTACTCTTAAGATGGATAGGACAATATAAGAGTCAGAAATATTTATTTAGGACAACAGGGCTCAACATTGTCAGATGAAGGCAAAACCTCAATGAGGGCTGCTGGAGTGCAACAGGAGCAGTTGCTACCAAGTGTAAATTTATTTCAATTTTAAGTATTTTTAAAAAATGGTCTGAAGGAGGTCAGCCCAGTCTCACCAGCAGAAAGGGCAATGACAAACCATCTTCAGCAGTTGTCTATCTTAAAAAAACATCCTGATAGCATATCCCAAAACAATCTCATTTTCTTGGGCAATTTATTTGTGTTATGTCACTGGCACTATCGTTAGTGCTCCAGTGTGCTATGTAACTCTCTCTTGCTCAGTTTTAAGCACGCTACTTTGCCCTATCTCCAGACGAAGAACAATTTAACCTCTGCCTTGCAGCAACCTTTTACACAGAAGATGACTGACACCAGGTCTCTACTAGCTTCTTCGTTAAAAACTCCAGGGCTTTTTACCCTTTCCCAGTCTCAGATTCTAGATTTCTGATCTTTCCTGGAACAAGTATTTCTCTGTGGACCAAATCTGCTGCGTCTGCAGCTTTAAAATATTTCTGCCCTCTGATGCCTGAGCATTACCAAGCACAATGAAGGAACTTTCCTAAGGAAAACCTGTGCGTAGTATGTGTTTATTCAGTCCATGCCATATTTGCTTTCTCCCAACATTCAGATCTTGTTGACTCAATTTCGCTGTGTGATTCAGCCCCGGATACTACTGTATAAAGCTGCCACATAGCTGTTTATTTAGTACTTCAGACTCCAATCTCACTCTCAAATTGACTGCAAACCTCCTGACTTTGCGTATGTCTGCACAGCAAATTCATCTTAAAGGCCTTGCCTGAAAAGGTCTTTCACTTCTGAAATTTTAAAATAAAAAAAAGCCTCCCATAAATCTATGCTAAGGAACAATATTGTGTGTGTTTCCAAAAAGTTCACATGCAAATTCATGTCATAACAACAGCTAAGGCATGGCAGGCTTCAGGATATAACTGCCCATATTTAAGAGCAGCTACAAAAGCAGGATTCCATAATAACTGTTGGATGTTACAGTACATGGAGATGCCTTGACTTACGCTTAAGACCTTATGCTGTGCAGAGGAACTACCCCTGTGCCTGTGGTCAGAAAAAAAAGAAGAAAAAAGTAATTTCAGATTACTTTTTACGCAGATAAGCTAATAAAGGAACAATTAGACTCAGATTCTTACTCACTGAAGCCAACGGATGGTGATGCTTATTTAAAACAGCGCAATACCAACTCTGGACTTTTAGATGACTTTTAAAGATGTTTTGATGCATACAGTACACCTATTGGTGATCTGATACGTGAGAGGGAAAGAACTCCAAATCAGTAATATGCATTTGGGAAAATATCTATGGACAGCTTTCCTTCAAAACCTTGTCAGCTGGGGAGAAGATTAAAGGTTCTGTGACAAGTTGAGAAAAGGAGGGTAGGGCCAGCTGTTTGTCAGTGACATGCTAAGACATTACCAGCCTCTTTGGACTCAACCTCTGAAATGGAGAAACAGGCGGTAACTGGTATCTCTCCTCCTGACTGTATTTCATTCATGTACTTGTTGGCTTAACTGCTTCTGCATTATCTATTTTAAAGCATAGCTGACCAAATGTTCAATTCTCTTAAAAAAAAATATAAAATTTCTTAGTCAGTTGTAACAGACCAGTCCTCTAAGCACAGAAGTTCTCCAAAGCTCTGTTCTGCTTTTGAGTTTTCTGGTCTCCGAATGTATTCCATTGTCAAGTGCTTGGAAACCACTTTGGAAACAAGCAAACAAAACAGATACAAAAAAATATTTTTGGCCTGCTTTCTGCCTGCAGTCTGAACTGCCACTCACAGCCCTCCAGATTAGGTTTAAAAAAATCTGTGAATTGAGGATCAGTGGCCACACTTTTTATGGCTATGTTTGTGCTCCATAAGCAGACACCTCAAACAGTTAAAAAGTCAGCTTATACAACGTTTAGGGAAAATGCAAGTGGATGATGCAACTAGATGAAACCATGAAACCAGTAAAAACATATATATTAAACATAACAGAAGAAACCTGTTTGTCAATAAATTTTCTCAAGTTACAATTTGTTTTTCTCCAGAGTTAAAGGTACCATCATAATAATTTACCACTGAATGGAACATTAAAAGCTCTCAAGGAAAAGGATTATATAGCACACCACCAAAACATTGTAGAGAATGATGGCAGGCTGCATTTCTGGCAATACTGAACAGCCAGTCACCCCAAATACAGCCAGGCAGAAGTGAGGGT